ACACACACACACACACACACACACACACACACACACACACACACACAGGTCAAGGTTCTGGTGTCTGGCAGACCTGGAAAAGATAAAGGATGGAGAGTTCATTAGGGCTGGATGTGAGTTCTGGAAAAGACTGGGAAAGAAAGGGGGTGTTCTTGTGGATGGAACACTCAGGGCGAAGGCTGGAAGTGGGAATAAATTCAGAGATTCATCAGCCAGGCCCACTGTGATATCCTCTTCAGGTGAGCATACAGCCAACAGCCTCTGCTACTTCTGGCATTTGCATTTCCCCTCACCAGCCCACACTCAAAACCCTCCTACCTTGGGCCAGGGGTTTAGCTCAGTGGTTCTGTCATGGGAAATATGAAATATGCTATCTTCCAACCTGTATGATATACCGAGTTCTTGTTCTCTAGAAATTGAAGAATGAGTCCTAGGAATGATGGAGGTTAAAAGTAGGAAGATATTTATTAATAGGAAAGCTCCTGAGGGGCAAGAGGGGTCCCTTGTAGGTAGCCCAAGGACCCCACTTTACAGAGGTTTTATAGGGTAAAACCCATGTGGGTATGATATGGGCCACAGCCATGAACATCCAATAAGGTTACATGTATAGTCACTTGGGTAATGGTGGGCCAATTGGGAAGCAAGCCACATACCAAGTGTGGATGGAAAGAACAAGGATTCTCCTAGGAGTCGGTGGGTCCAGAGGTCTCTGGTCACCCCCAGGGTGGTTGATGCCTATGTATACTTCATTAAGCCCAGTTCTTTGAAGAAGTAGGTGGGTCTGGTCATCTTGTCTCCATCTTGAGCTAGTTTTCAGCTGATGTGCAGCTGTGGTGTGTTTCACCTTTGTCCTGGCCCTCTCAAGGACTTAGCCCTATCTGACTGGCTATAACATTTCTACCTAGCTCACCTATCTATAATAGTTCTGCTGCCTGCCTCAAAAGCACCAAGGTCCTGAGTTCGATCCCTGGTACCAAAACAAAACAAAACAAAACAAAACTTTCCTACCTAAGCCAGGTGGGGGCTGGTCTAGGAGCAAACAAACCGAAATCAGAGCTTATACATTTGGAGAGCAATTAATTCTTCCTAAAGCTCAAGGCTCGGTAGTCCCCGAGGTGGGATAGAAGAAATAAAAACTAGGTAGAAAGGAGACAAATTGAGATTTTTAATGTCTAAATTTTTGTTTTATTTTTGGAGAAAGAATCTCGCTATGTAGTTCAGGCTGGCCTTGAACTCATTTTGTAGCCCTGGCTGGCCTGGAACTCACAGCAATCCTCCTGCCTTACCCTTCCATGTGTTAGGATTACAGGTGTAAGATTGCCATGAGTTTGAGGCAATTATAGCTGAGTTCAATTCCTGGTACCAAAAAAAAAGGGTGAGCTGTGTGTGGTGGCCCAAGCCTGTAATCCCAGAACCTCTCCACGAGCCCCCCCCCCCCCATCTTCCGGCCAGAGCCTCCCTGGGGTCATGACAGGCCAAAGTCTGGTTTAATCAGTGATCCAACCCAGAAGCAAGGAGGCCAGAACACAGCGTCTGACCTGGACCAAGCATCAAGGAAGAAGAATCATTAAAGATGAGTCCTTTTTTTTTTTTTTTTGGTACCAGGGATCAAACTCCAGTCCTTGCATTTGTGCAGCAGGTGCCGAAACCACTGAGCTAAATCCCCGGCCCAAAGATGAGTCTTGAAAGGTAAAGATGAGCCTTGAAAGGTAAGTAGTTCCCAGGACAACGAAGGGGTAGTTAGGTGGGTGAGTGCTCCAGCAGCCCCAAGATTTTAAGAATCATAATGTGTCCAAGACAAGAGTGGGGCAGGGTGGGTCAGAGTGGAATAGAAATCAAGGACCCTGAACCAAGACTTAAAAGCTCGGCCAGTGTTCAAGGAGCCAGATTCTAAAGCCAAAGGGAAGTGGCTTTCGGGACAGCGTGGGAGGCAGTCCCGTCTCCCCCATCCAGGTGCACTGCCATCCAACCGGGGCACGTTTATCCCTTGTTCCTCACTGTGGGGTTCTGGTCAGAGCTACCGCGCGCCCTCTGGTGGGCACTTAGCGGTGATCCTCCAAAGATGTGGAAATGGGAAACCAGGGTAAGGTGGGAGCTGGAGAGAAGCGCCAAAGGTGCTCTGAAGGCTCAGATCAGAAGTAGTAGCAGTGAGGTCAGCTGGTAGTTGCTGGGCCATTGAGGTGGGGCAGATAGGTCTGACCCGGCTAGTGAGGGTCCCTTGGAGTAGCCTCGTGTGGAATCTTGTTCCTTCGCGGGATGTTTTTTGGCCAAAAAAGGAAGGAACCTGGGTGTAGTGGTGCATGCCTATAATCCTAGCTCCTGGGAGGCTGAGGCAGGAGGATTGCCGTGAATTTGAGGCCAGCCTGGGCTACACAGTGAGTTCAAGACCAGCCTGAACTACCCAGCAAGACTCTTTTATTTATTATTTATTTGTCCAGTACGGGGGATTGAACTCAGGACTTTGTGCTTGCCAGTGGTGAGCTGAGCTACATCCCTGGCTTTAGCAAGACTGTTTTTAAAAAAAGTAAGAAAGCACTTTTTCACCACTCCTATTCACCTAGGAGGTTGCCGGAAGGCCCCTACCCTGTGTCTGCCCAGGCTGTCACTGGAGCTCGACTGCCTTCAGGGATCCAGGCCCAACAGGTCTCAAAGGACTAGTGTGTGGCCTACAAGATAGATCTTCTCTTCTGGAGTGCGGGGTTTTGGAAAAGGCTTCTGGCCTCGTGCTGGGCCTTTGGGGCCTTGCCTATCTCTCTCCCTGTAGCTATCTCCTATTCATGCTTCAGGAAGCCTAGAAGCAGGAAGTGAGAAGCAGGTTGGGGGCAGGGGACTTTTATCAGTGAAGTACAGAAATTTCAAACTACAGAAGGGATCCCTGCTATTGAGGGAGATGTTTGTTTTGAGACAGGGTCTCACTATGTAGCTCAGGCTGGCCTCGAAATCACAGCGATCCTCCTGCATCAGTCTCCTGTGTGCTGGGATTACAGGTGTGTACCATAATGGCTGGCTTGAGAGAGGTATTTTGAAAGGTGAAAATGAGGAAAAGCAGAGACCAGCTATCAAGGGAGGAAAACCCACAGATAATACCCTACTCACTACTCCAAAAGCCCTGTAGTCCAGCAGGACTTATTGATGGAATATCCGAAGGTGGGAGCAGCAACACCATTCATTCATTGAGTGTCAGGCCCCGTGATATGCACTGGAGGAAGTCCCACCTCGAGAATCAGATGAGAGAAACAATACATAAGTAATGAATTGTGACGTAAGTTTGGTTATCAGCAGAGGGGCACAAGTTGTTTCATAATAAGGCTACCCCAAAGAACCCATTCAGTGAGGAACTCAGCAAAGGAAGCACCCCACGTTATTGAAACGATTTGCATTTTCAAGAAGTCCAAGTTCTATATTGGGAAGTTATGGTATTGGGGCAGTTGGATGGGCTTGTGGATGCTGGGGGGAACCGCCCTATACTGCCAACATGGTACTTTGGACTCACCTTCCAGCCAAGACTTGGACACGCATGAGTGTCTCACCAGTGTGAATAAGGACAGCCAGGGGTGCCACAACGTCAGGGTCACTCCAGAGGGAGGCTTTCTGGATGTCTGACGTCCAGACGAGCACTAACCAAGAAGGAAAAGGGTCTACCTCGAACCTCAACGAGTGGGGGCGCTAGGTGGAGCGAGACCGAGACAAGCAGCGCCAGGAAAGCCCTGCGGGGACACCGAGGCTGTTCTGTAGGAGCGGGAGCCCAGACAAGGTGCAATACACACCACGGGCATTTTAGGAACTGAGTGGGTTGGGCAGGACAGGTGAGGGGAAGTTAGCTAGGGAGCAGGGCCCAGGCCTGACGCAGGCGCGCTTGGGGATGCAAGGGGTGGGACCTACCTCGCGGCTGCGCCTAGCAGCACGAGTAAATATTTGGCATTCCAGGCTTGCTGGAGGCGGGCCCCGAAAAGCGCCGCTCCCCCCCCCCCTCCTGATTGCTTAGTGCTTTGGGGTGGGGACTCGCGAGCCAGCGCTGGTTCTGAGTCTGGGGAGAAGTTCTCTATGCCATGACAAAGTGCTGGTCGCCCGAGGCTGCTGGACAGGAGGTCCACCTTCCACGTTCTCCTGATCGCCGTGTTCCGGCGCGAGTCACTTCCGTCCGGGGCGCTGCTGTATGGCAAGGCTCTCTGACCCCGGGCTGGGGTCCTTTCCCAGAGCCTGAGCTGGGGATTTACCCAGGTCTTCCGCTCTCTTGTCCACAGGCCCGGATGTAGCGCCCTTTTCCGAGTGCGCAAAGTGCGACTTCAGCCTCGACTCAGGTCGAGTTTGGCAATCCCACGTCCGCTTTCGCCGGGCTGGAGATCCATTTTCCCGCCGAATTACTAGTTTCTCGGTCACGTAAACGGGAGACTTTGGGAACGTACCGGGCAGCCCAGAAACGCCCCTTAAGGAGTCTCATCATGTTGCCCCGGTCAAAACGGGGATATTCGGGATTAGGTTATTCCTGCTGGAGAATGGACCTGCTATTCAACCCTGCGCGCTCAGCTTTCTTGGCAACCAGCCGATCGGAAACAGGCAGGCGCCCCCACGTGGGGTAGGGCTGAGGCTCCAGGCCCCCACCTTACAGCTCAATCTCCTCTAGGCTGCAGCTCTCAGGGGTCTGGGGAAGAGGCGGTTCCTCGGTTCCCCCCTTCCCCAACGTCACTCTGGCCCACTGTAACCGCGCTTTGTCCTGCGGGCACTTCACTCGCCCAGGTTAGGGCCGGCCCTGGCACCTGTGTGGACAAGTCCTTCCCTCTGATCTTTGTGACCGCCCACAGCTCTAAGGTCCCCAGATTTCTGCCGCCCTCCTCTTCCCCAACCAGCATCTGATGATCCCTCCCCCACAGGCCTCTGAGAGACACCTGATTACTCTCACCAACCCCTCTGACCCTTGGTGACTTCCATCAGCCCCAAGCTGGCCATTGTGACCCCCACATCCCCTAGTGGTGACTTCCACAGGTCCAATGTGACTCTCACGAACTGGAGAAGGCCTCTGGTCTTGGATGTCCTTTTGCGGAGGCCCCAAAGGTCCCTGCGGGAAAAAGGCAGGAAGGAGGAGAGACGGGTTCGCCCCGGGAACCAGGCAGGACCAGACCAGGAAGTGGGAGTGCAGGTTCTAAGTGCGCTCCCAGGTCGGGAGTGTGAGTTCTCAAATCCTGGGCTGGGTTTTGGCCCTCCCCCAAGGCTCCCGGGCCGCCCCCGGTCACGTGTCCCGCGGGGCCGCCAGGTAACTCCGGGAGAGAGCAAGAGGCCGGTATCCGCCCCGTCCGGCGCCGCGGGCGCGTCTCAGCAGCGCCCACTGCCACAGCCCGGGCCGCAGGTGCCGCCCCCCCAACACACTGCGTCCCGCCCTAGCTCATCCGCGTTTGCCGTCGGACGGTGCGTGCGTGCGCCTCGTCCGTCCGCGTGTGTGGCCGAGCGCCCCCTTCCTCTGCGGCCATGAGTCCGCCGCCGCCGCCGCCGCCTCCGACCCCGGCCCCAGACCCCACTATAGACTCCGCCGCAGACCCCTGCCCCGGGTCAGGATCTCTGGCTGTCCTATTCGGGGCTACGGCCGGTGCGCTGGGGCCGGAGCTGGGTTCCGATGAGACCGACTTAATCCTCCTAGTATGGCAAGTGGTGGAGCCGCGAAGCCGCCAGGTAAGCTACAAAGGAGGTAGTAGGAGTTACCAGGAAACTTCAGGACCCAAAGGGCGCGGCGGCTGATCGGTTTCCTTACTGCTCGCAGGTGGGGACGCTGCACAAATCGCTGGTACGAGCCGAGGCGGCTGCACTGAGTCCGCAGTGCCGCGAGGCGAGCGGCCTGAGCGCGGACAGCCTGGCCCGGGCCGAGTCGCTGGACAAGGTGCTTCAGCAGGTGAGTGCCGGGGCCGGCATGGGTGGTGGCACAGCCGGGCCGCCAGGACGTTTCTCGGTTAGAGAGGCGACAGGAGGCTAGGCCTGGCGCACCCGGACCAACTGGCTGGGGCGGTAGGACAGGGTCTTCTTTGAAACTTTGACTCCCGCACGTGCATGTGTCTGTGTACGTCGGCCATTCCGACGGCGCCTTGCTTTTCAACCTTTACAGACGTACACTTTTGCTAAGGGAGTGGGGATGGCGGCTTCGGGGAAGGGAGGCTGAAACTCCCTGAGAACCTGTCAGGTCAAATCTTGGAGAGCAGCAGTCAGAAACAAAAGGATCAAGGGGTCCAGAGTGCGCCTTAGGTCACCGGACCCTGCCGCCCGCGTCCTGTGACCACCCGTCCGCCCCCAGCCTGGGCGCTGCTGGAGCGCGGGGGCGTAGGGCAGGCGGTGTCTGTCTTTGGGGCTGATGCCGCCAGGTGTAAGCTGCTCGTCCAGGCCTGTCCCGGCCGGTTGGCCAGGCGTGGGTGCTGTCCGTACCCTGCCTGGAGGCTACCTGCAAAGTAGTATAAAGGCCTGGGGTTGCCTCCCGACCTTGGCTGAAGTGGGAGGCGGTTTCCATTGCTGTTTTGCCTTGTCTTTACTTCGACACTCACCCTTTGAGTAGCTTTTGAGTGTAATGAGTTTAAGTGCTTTACATGCATATTCTTTCATCTTCCAACTGGTGATTCTTGGTGAGGAAACATAAAGATGCCGCCGAATCTGAGTCTGTTCCAGGAGAGCACCTGGCCTAGTCCTCACCTGGGGAGGGTGCTAAACAAGAGCTGGCTGCCTTGCTCTCCCAGCCTCAGGTTGTAAGGTGTCCAGAATTGGCAGGGGCAGGAATGGGGGTGGTGGTTCCCGAGTCTGTGATTAGGGCTTATACCGCTTCAACTGGTTCTCCAGAGGGAATGAGCCTGGGGGAGGGGCTGGGCAGCCTCTGGAGTGCACCCCCTCTATGAGCAAACAGCTCAGTGCCAGCCGGTCGATAGGTTCTGGGTCAAAGCTCATGCTGCCCCTGGTGTCCAAGTGTGGAGCCCTGTCCTTGGAGTTTCTCTGTCTCGCGGTTGGTCAGACCTGGAGGCGGGGCTGCCATTGACCATGAGCCTTCTGGCCTTCGGGCAGGCCTGGGCCTCCCCCACCTGTCTGAGGGTGGTGCCAGGTCAGGGACAGGTTTAACCTGCTTTGCCCCGCCCCTTCCCACCTGCTTGTCTGACTTCACCAGGTGTTTGCTCTGGCCCCACTCCAGACTCCTGTAGTGTGTGAGGGGGTCTTGGGTTATGTGTGGCTGCCCTCATTTGGCCTGGAGGAGGTGACAGTGGACTGGGATGGGGTGGGGGTTGCTGGGCTAGGAAACAGAGCCAGGCCTAGTAGGTGTGGCCTTTTCCTCCCGACGCAGGGTAGGGCTGAACACCTGGCTGATGCAGCTTTGCAGCCTGCATCCTCTTACCCCGGTTCCTGCCTGCTCAGCTGTGAGTCTATGTCTGAGTCTCTTCTCATTCCCTTTCCCTAGTTCTCACAACTGGTGAACAGGGATGTGGCTCTGCTGGGCGGAGGCCCCTATGTGCTCTGCACTGATGGGCAGCAGCTGTTGCGACAGGTCCTGCATCCTGAGGCCTCCAGGAAGGTATGCCACTGAGGGCACAATGGGTGGTAGGGTTCCCAAGGCCCCCATTGTAGTGGGGGCAGGGAGGACCCCTCATTTCCCCCATTCATCCCCACTCCTGTATACCCCCAGAATCTGGTGCTCCCCGACACCTTCTTCTCCTTCTACGACCTCCGCAGAGAGTTCCATATGCAGCACCCGAGCACCTGCTCTGCCAGGGACCTCACCGTGGCCACTATGGCACAGGGTATCTGTCCCAGCAGGGTTATGGTGGAGGGCAGCTACAGGCTGTGTGTTTAAGCATGTGCATGCTGCTGGGTGGCTTATAGGAACAAAAGCAAGTCTGCATCGTCTGCTAAATCCGGGAGGGTACCTGTGCCTATGTCTATGCCAGAATGCATTTGGAATGTGGGCCTGTGTCTATGTCTGGGTTGGGGACCTGCATGTGCATGCATGAAGAGGGTGAAAACAAATGTGTCTGTTTGCTGGGATTCTGCATGTCTGTGGAGGGGACTTGGGCCCTGTTACGAACATGATTAGTGCTCATGCTGGATCCCCCCGTACGTCTCACATTGGGATTTCTTCATTGTCACTTCTCTACTTATAGACTTGGGACTAGAGACAGATGCCACAGAGGATGACTTTGGGGTCTGGGAAGTGAAGACAATGGTGGCTGTCATCCTCCACCTGCTTGAAGGACCCAGTGGTAAGGTTCTCTTTCTGCCTGTCACTTGCTCTCAGGGTTGGGTGAATACTTATTACTTTCTTAAAAGTCTTCTTGCTCACTTGTGAATTTCTCTAAAAGAACACAGGTTGAAAGCCCCTTTGTCACCTCCTCATCCCCCTCAACTGTCCTCTTTTTGCAGAGCTTGGTGGGGAGACCTCCTCCACCAGACCCTGCTGACTCCCATGCCATCTCCTCTCAGGTCAATTGTTTTCGAAGCCCGAGGTGGTAAAGCAGAAATATGAGACAGGGCCTTGGTGAGTGTGGGAGCAGGGGTGGGGGTGACAGGAGCGGGACAGTTCTGACTCTGTGTCCTGCCCCCACAGCAGCAAGGCTGATGTGGTGGAAAGTGAGACTGTGGTACGGGCCCGTGGGCTGCCCTGGCAGTCATCAGACCAGGATGTGGCTCGCTTCTTCAAAGGGCTGAACATTGCCAGGTGGGTGTGGCAAGAGTGGGAGGGCCAAGAGGGCAGGCCTGCCCAGGAGGTACTAACAGTGCTGGCTCCGTAGGGGTGGTGTAGCACTCTGCCTCAACGCCCAGGGCCGAAGAAATGGTGAGGCCCTCATCCGCTTCACCGACAGGGAGCAGCGGGACCTAGCACTGCAAAGACACAAGCACCACATGGGTGTCCGCTATATTGAGGTGGGACTTTGGGCAGGGAGTGGAGCAGGGAAAAGCTGAGTCAGGACTGAGACCCATGGACTGTTCACTCTGCACCCACAGGTCTATAAAGCAACAGGGGAGGAGTTTGTGAAGATTGCAGGGGGTAAGTGTGCTGCCAGCGGGGCCCAACTCTTTTGCTTTTTATTTTTTTGTATGGTACTAGGTACTGCACTGAATTACATTCCCAGACAACCCCCCACCCCCACCCCCCGGGTTTGGAGACTGGGTCTTACTTAGTTGCCTAGGCTGGGCTTAAACTTGTAATCCTCCTGCTCAGCCTCCCAGAGTGCTGGGATTATAGGCATGCACCACTATGCCTGGGTATCTCCCTTGCTTTTTTTTTTTTTTTTTGGTACCGGGGATCGAAATTGGGTCTTTGCGCTTTGTGCTTGTGAGGTAGGTGGTGGAACCACTGAGCTAAATCCCCGGCCCTCCCTTGCTTCTTGACAATGTATCCCTGTATCCCACTCCCTGCCTTCCCTGTCTTTCTGCTTCTGAGTGGGTGGGGATTTGGAAGTACACAAATGAAATCAGATGACTCCCACACTGACTCCCATGCTGCCCACCCAGGCACATCACTAGAGGTAGCTCGTTTCCTGTCACGGGAAGACCAAGTGATCCTAAGGCTGCGGGGACTGCCCTTCTCAGCTGGGCCAGCAGATGTGCTAAGCTTCCTGGGGCCAGAGTGCCCAGTGACTGGGGGTGCTGATGGGCTGCTCTTTGTGCGCCACCCTGATGGCAGGCCAACTGGTGATGCCTTTGCCCTCTTTGCCTGTGAGGAGTTGGCACAGGCTGCACTGCGAAGGCACAAGGGCATGCTGGGTAAGCGATACATTGAACTCTTCCGGAGCACTGCAGCTGAGGTACAGCAGGTGAGTACCCAGGGATCCCACCCTCCAATGAGGTGTTTTCCTAGGGTGCACCTTCAGTCACTTGTGCCCCTGTGCTACTTGGTGCGACAAACCTGTTCCCTTCCTTACTAGGTCCTGAACCGCTATGCATCCAGCCCACTCCTTCCCACATTGACAGCTCCACTGCTGCCCATCCCTTTCCCACTGGCAGCTGGGACTGGGAGGGACTGTGTGCGCCTTCGAGGCTTGCCTTACACAGCCACCATTGAAGATATTCTGAGCTTTTTGGGGGAGGCGGCAGCTGACATACGGCCCCATGGTGTACACATGGTGCTCAACCAGCAGGTGAGGCTGCTGCTAGGGTTGATCACAAAGGCAGCAAGGGGGGTGTTAGGAGCAAGGCCCTCTTCCACACCAGAGTGTTTATAAGATGGTGTACACAGGGCCGTCCGTCCGGCGATGCTTTCATCCAGATGACATCGGCAGAGCGGGCCCTAGCTGCTGCTCAGCGTTGCCACAAGAAGATGATGAAGGAGCGCTATGTGGAGGTGGTCTCCTGTTCTACAGAGGACATGAGCCGTGTACTGATGGGGGGAACCTTGAGCCGCAGTGGCATGTCCCCTCCACCCTGCAAGCTGCCCTGTGAGTGCTCCAGGGGCTGAGGGCCAGGCTGGTGGTGGGGACTCATTTCTGGCTGCCCCACCCAGGGCTTACTGGGCTCCACGCAGATGCACTCTCTACTTGTCTCTAGGCCTCTCACCACCCACCTACGCCACCTTCCAGGCCACCCCAACCCTCATTCCCACTGAGACGGCGGCTCTGTATCCTACTTCAGCACTGCTCCCAACTGCCAGGGTGCCTGCTGCCCCCACCCCTGTTGCCTACTACCCAGGGCCAGCCACTCAACTCTACATGAACTACACAGCCTACTACCCCAGGTATCCTGCTAGAACCCCATAGACCCGCGACCTGTTTTGGGGGGGAGGGTATGATTCCTTTCTGAGCCAGATACCCTAAGATCTACTAGACTTTTATTCTGATAAAAGAATAAAGGGGAAAGAACAGGTGTGGGCTGGCTAATGCTATCTACAAAACAGACTGGAAATGATGACATAGAGACAGGGGTTTTAGAAAAAACTAAGCACAAGGCAGAGGCAAAAAAGGAGGGGGTTCTTGACCTGAGCTATAGGTAGGATGTACTACTAAACCCGTCTTTCTAACCCTAGCCCCCCAGTCTCCCCTACCACCGTGGGCTACCTTGCAACACCCCCTACTGCCCTGGGCTCTACTTCCACCTCAATGTTGTCTCAGCCAGGAGCCTTGATCCGAATGCAGGGTGTCCCTTACACAGCTGGCATGAAGGATCTGCTCAGTGTCTTCCAGGCCTACCAGGTGAGGTTGGATGGCTGGAAGGCTTGAGGGCCTGGCTGACCCTGGAGCTCCCTGTCCTAAGTCTGTGTCCCTTTTGCAGCTGGCCCCTGATGATTACACCACTCTGATGCCTGTTGGTGATCCACCTCGCCCTGTGTTACAAGCCCCCAAGGAGTGGGTGTGTTTGTAGGTGAGGAAGCCAGGAACTAAGAGCTAGGTGATGTCTTCAGCTACCATACCTTCCCTGCATCCAGAGTACCTTCACTCCAGTGGCTTCTTTCTGGCTTGTCAAAGCTCTCAGAAGGCACCCAGAGAAGACCAAGCCCAGCTCCATCCCCTACTTCTCTGGTTGTTCATCCCAAAGATGGCTACCCTGAATGCAGGGGTGGGGGTGGAATGAGGATATCTTGCTCCCAACAGCATGGCTGGGCCTCTTGAGGGGCATCCGGAGAGCCTTTGATCTGTCCTGTATAGGCCCGTACCCATGGTGGGCCTGACAGGCTGTCTAAATTGCGCCTTCAGTGTGTGACTCCTGTGAGAATCAAGGATCTATCTGAATCTGAGTAAGGATCCCAGTTATCTCCTCCCCATCCCCTCCTATGGGAGGTAGGAAGGCAGAGTCAGTAGCTGTCCTCAGGACACTTGGATTTCGGAGACCATATTGTAATGGGTGGCCTCACCTAAGGATGCCAGCCCCCTCCAGCTAGGCCCAAGAAATACCAGGTGGCAAAACCTCGAAGTATTCTGAACTGTGCTGCAATCTCCAGAGAACACCAGAGGGCAGGAGGCCCCCACAGGAAAACAGGCTTGAATTTTAAAAGAAACTTTCTGCCAACTTTTTTTTTTCCCCTTTCCTTTTCTGTGCTGGGGATTGAACCTAGAGCCTGCTGCATACTAGGCAAGTGCTCATACTAGGCTACATCCCCAATCCTTTTTAAGACAGGATCTTGCTAAGTTGTCTGGGGTGGCCTTGAACTTGTGATCTTGCCTCAGCCTCCCAAGTAGCTGAGATTATAGGCATGACCCATGGCCCAGCTCATCTGCCAACTTTCTTGCAATACCTTGGGAAGGCCAGTTGTCCTGAACTCAGCAAACACCATGGAATGTCCTTTAACCCGTTAAAGGGTGCAGAACTCAAGCCTTGGGAGGAATTTGGAACTTTACTTTCTCCTGTGTAAAATGAACAGAATTTCCTGACCAAGTGGACTTTTAAAAAGTCATAGTGCCCTTAGCTTTGGCCCCAGAGTGAAGGGCTCCACACTAGCCCCAGGTGGAGAAAAACTCAGATTTCAAGGAGATTGTCAATCTGTCACCATTTATTCTTTCAGCACTATAACTGAGGCAGAGCCTGAATTTCTGCCTCTTCTTTCCTTTGTATTTGTGTAAGGAGCACTGCACTCCTATAAAAGGTTTTAAAATATAAATATACAAGAAAACACAATCCAAAGTGCTGTAAACATAACTGAGAACCAGTTTCTTTACTAAAAGCATCCATTTTATAAAATACAGTTTTATTTAACTTGAGATTTAAAGATGACCATCTGTTCTGAATATCTCAAACAGGGCTTCATAGCCAGAGGTCTGGTGATAATGGCTGGCCCTCATTGGGGGTGGGATGTACCCTGGGCAGCAGCACCGCATGCAAACTTGACATCTGTTCCTTTTAAAGCTGTTTACAGCCATGTTTCTCTGTGTATCTCTGATAAGCAGAAGGCTGCTTGTTTCATTCCCCAATCCAAGGTATAGCACAGGTCTGAGGGAAAGGTGTATGCTAGTACATGCCCCATTGCTCAGTGCTGCTACTAGAAATCAATTTGCATAGTCCAATGGATGTGTCCTTTAATACTACTCTGTTGCACAAAAGTTTAAGTCTATCTACAAAGCCAAAAAATATTGACTCTTACATGAAAGCTTTTACAAAGCTAATACAAAACTGCTTACATAGTATACAAAGGTCTATTTTAAAATTTAACTTTTATTTTAAATAGGAAAGCATTTCTAGTGCTACAGGCATCAAGGTATTTAAAAGGCATCAAAATTTGGTGCATAGCAACTCTGGATCATAGAGGCTTTTATTCTTGAGGGCAGCAAAGCGGCCCCCAGAGGGTCTTGCAGGACCCTATGTGAGGCAGCTACCTCTGGGGGAAGAGGGTAAAAGCAACTCTGGCCATGTCTCTGGAACTTTACCTGAGAGGCCAACCTCCTACCCTTCCAAAGGAAGCTGTGGACTTCCAACCAAGGCCCTGAAGCAAATCTGACTATCCACATTCAGACATATAACCCACTTTTCAAAGAAAATTTGAAAACACTCAGCCCTAAGAGGGACCATATTGACTTGATGAATGACGGACATTGTTCTCTATTTTTATGGCCAAAATCTAAAACATGGTTTTAAAAAAGACCATACTTCACGCAGGATCAACAGCTCCTACCCGGCTGACTGGAGATGGTGACCAACATATCAGTTCTTTGCTCAGGCCTGACTTGATCTCAGTAGAGAATGTCCTGGCATCCAGGGCCCCACAATCCACTAGAATAACATTAAGTCTTCAACCAGCCCAACACACTGGCAGGTGTAGGCACTCAAAAAATTTGCTTCCTGAATAAATTAAGGTACACTATTGTATTTAAAAACATACTACAAACTTCAGGGGTTTTGAAATAGGCCTAGAAACAGTAACAAATCCCACTGGTGACAGGCTTAAGGGCAGGATTTGGAAAAAGTACCCAACTTGGGCACCTCCTTTGGTACATAGCAGGCTGGAGTTTCTGCTGACCCCTGCCTTGGATGCCAGTCACCAGCAGCAGCACCAGGGCATCTTTGGTGTGGAGGGTACGGTCTATGATGCCAGATCATTTCACATGTGCCTCAATGCCTTCTGGAAGGCTGGCTTTTAAGTCATACACTTGGGACAGGGTCGGCCAGAATGATTTCGGGCTATAAAAAGAATGGGAGATAAGCCTTCCCATCTGGAATCCTGCATTTTCTCTGCCCATCCTGATGCACTGCACACTTGTGTTTAGCTCCTGACACAGCTAGGTTAGCCTCTAGAATAGTCAGAACTGCAAAGTTACCTGGACAATCAGGAAACTGGCTTCAAAGGTAACAATACCCAAAGGCAGACATTCCCACTTGGAAAAGGTTCTGGAGCCAGACAACACAAACAGGAAGAGCACTAGTTTTTAAAGTTTCCAAGCTAAAACTGCTTGGTGACTGCTTTCAAAGTCACCTTATAAGCCAATTTTACCTAGAGTCCTAAAGGGAAAAAAGCAGTTTCAACATGGAGCCAGTAATGAGACTGCAGAAAGATGACCTAGAAAGTTATAAAAAAAAGCTATGCTCTGGAATGTCTTTATATTCCAACATTTCAATGATGGAATGGTCTTTTCTCATTTTATCTAGCAACAGTTTACTTTTATAGAGTATGAGCTACATTTGGCTTTATTTCCTATGACTATGGCTTCAGGACACATGCTGAGTTTCTGAGGCATAGATATGGGCTTAGGATAGTATTTTTCCCATTTGCCTCTGGAAGGTTTTATCAAAAGTTCCTATTTTTAAAGTATAAAAACTAAAGGGCCCTTCAAATGACCAGAAAATACAAATCACCAATCCTAACTACACAACCAAGTTACCTGCAAAAGCAGCAGCTCTGAAAGGGAGAGTGCTGCATTCACACTCAGAGCACCCATCATATAAAAGTATCCTATTTAAATATAAAAAATGCAAAGCTCATTTTTCCACAGCTCAACAGCCTATGCTGCTCTGATTCTTTTACAAAATCTAACCAAGGCCAGAGGTGGAGGAATGCCACTCTCCCCACAAATGCTGAGTCCAACCCTGGCACCGGTCCTGAAGGCGAAAGAGTTGGAAACTCAAGGCCTAAAAGAGAAACATGCTGAGAAATTGGTGGCGGACACAAGGCTGCAGTAAGCACTGTCAGAGCCGATCAGATCTTCCTCAATCCAGGGACTCAGGACTCAGGTGAGAAGCCTCTCTGCTAATTTGTGGGCCTTGGGAAACAGAAACCTGGGACATATCTCTCCCAATTATCTCGTTCACTGAAAAAGAAAAGGCAGAATGATTAGTGACCTCAGAGTGACATCATGATGGTCTATGCTGAGCTCTCTCTCAGTCATTTCCACCCCCATGGCTTCTGGGAAGAGTAAAAGCAGCACTTGAAGCCTGCTCCTGAGCTGAATTGCATTAAAGACCAACATCCTTGGCCAAGAGGCTCCAGACCTCTTTCTCCTCATCTCAGTTCAGTTTGGCTAGGAAGGGGAATGGCTGCGAAAGTAGGAAACGTTCTTTTCTTTAAAAAAAAAAAAAAAAAATTTTTTTTGGAGACAGAGTCTCATTATATATAGTCCAGGCTGGCCTCGAACTCTTGGCAATCCTCCTGCCTCAGCCTCCCAAGTGCTGGGATTACAGGCGTGCACCACCATGCCCAGCTTTCTTTTTAAAATTTAACCTCCTGGTACTGGGGATTGAATCCAGGCCCTTATCACCAAGCTATAGCCCCAGCCCTTTTTAAAAATTTTTTATGTTGAAACAGGGTCTTGCTAAGAGGCTAAACTGCCCAGGCTGGGCTCAAACTTGTGATCTTCCTATCTCAGCCTCCCAGAGTGATGGGACTATAGGCATGCACCCCACCCATCCTGGCTCTTTTGGAGATGATGAGTTCAGGCTGGCCTTGACCTCATGATCCTCCTGCCTCAGCCTCCTGGGTAGCTGTGATTACGTGTATGCACCACTTTGGCAGAACAGAAAACATTCTTATCCTTACTTCATTTTTTTTTTGGTACTGGGAAACGAACTCAGGGCCTCATGCTTGCCAGGCGGGTGCTGTGCCACTGAGCTACATTCCCGGCCCTTTATCCTTACTTCTAAGGCTCATGCTCTAGAGCGGAGAATAGGATGCCTTTGAAGTGTTCACCTTAACCTAACTTTTCCTTAATTTGAAATTCCTTTGGGGAAGTTTTTCTTTCCTGATTCCCACAGTGCCACCTACTATATAAAGTGAATGAACATAAAAGATCTGGGCAAAGCAAACCAGAGATTTGGGGGCTATTTTGTTATCCCAATATGAGCACTCTTTATTATGTGGGAACATTTGTATTCTTTGTGGTCCTTTCTTATTGCAGGCTCTTTCTGGTGGTTTCTCTGATGTGCCAGGTAACTCAGTGAGGACAGTTCTCTGTGAGGCCCAGGGCAAAGAATTTCCATCTTAGCTGGGAATAGTGGCACATGTCTGTAATCCCAGCACTTGGGGAGGCAGAGGCAGGAGGATCTCCATGAATTCGAGGACAGCCTGGGCTACATAGTTAGTTCAAAGCCAGCCTGAACTACATAGTGAGGCCTTGTCTCAAAAAACCAAAAAAAGAAGGTATGCAAAGCAATAAAGGCTGAAGATGTAGCCTGATTGTGATTGGTACTGAATGTGTACTGAAAGCAGGAAGCAGAAGCCAAATGAATCTTAATTACAAAACTGAAGATTAATCCAGGAGCACTAATCATCACCCATAAACCAGTTTTTTTTTTGGTACTGGAGATCAAACTCGGGACCTTGCACTTACAGGGCAGGTGGCAGCACCACTGAGCTAAATCCCCAGCTATAATCTTTTTTTTTGGAGGGGTGGGTACTGGGGCTCAAACTCGGGTCCTTGCGCTTGGGCAACAGGCAGCGAAACTACTGAGCTAAATCCCCGGCCCAAAAGAGCTATAATCTTGCCACCCTAACTTAAACAGCATTTTTGTTTTTGTATATTTTCTTCAAGATTCTTTTTTTGGGGGGAGGGTACCAGGGATCGAACTTGGGACCTTGCACTTGTGAGGCAGGTGGCAGAACCACTGAACTAAATTCCCTGGCCCCCATAAACCAGTTTTTGAAAGTAATTGGTACAGGGCTAGGGATGGGGCTCAGAGGCACCTCACCTGCTTGGCAAGTGCAAGGTCCTGAGTTTGATCTCTGGTACCCCCCAAAAAAGAAGAAAGTAATCGTACAGAAATATGAAGGCCTTTGTCAAATGATTTTTAAGTAAATTCCAGGTTAAGGTTTATTGACCATTCATCACGATTATTTACAAAGAATATAATCTAATTTTACTCCTGGCTTGCTAGAAACAACCACCCGAATACATTTTTTTTGAAACAGGGTCTTACTATGTAGCTCAGGCTGACCTGGAACTTACTAGGCAGTCCCAGCTGGCCTTAAACTCCTGGCAATCCTCCCGACTAAGCCTCCTGAATGCTGGGATTATAGGCGTGGGCCACCATGCCTAGCTGGAATAGTTTCTATATAAATGAAAACTTATGAGGAAATTTTGCACAAAAATTTGTTTTTTCTTTTCAGTTTCCCTATTAATATAATGGGGAAAAACCTCTTATATAGTATATGAAGTGAAAATATACAGGGCATATAAGTAGGCAAGGTAATCATTGATACCCACTTTTTTGGGGGGATGGAACTCAGGACCTTGCACTTGCCAGGCAGGCGTGGTGCCACTGAGCTAAATCCCTGGCCCCTCAATACCTACTGTTTCAAGTCACATAAAGTGCAAGAAGTGTTTTCTGACTGGTGCTAATCCACAATCTCTGTATATTCTCTAACATTCTTTATCACATTAGATTATCAGCAGATTGCTGGGCGTGGTGGCCCACATCTGTAATCCTACCACTTGAAAGGCTAAGGCAGGAGGACAGATGTGAGTTCAAAGCCAGCCTGGAGTATATAGCAAGATCCTGTCTCAACAAACAGGAAAAAAATTATCAGTAGGCTTCACCATTATCTGTTTTGCAAACAGGCTGTGAACTCCTCATAGGCAAGGACATTACTACTGAGAAAACATTAATTTATGTAGACAGGGCCTGGAATCTCTAATCCTAGCTACTTGGAAGGATGAGGTGAAAGGATGCAGAGTTCAAGCCCAATCTGGGGAACATCGAGAGACCTCATCTCAATAAAATTAAAAAAAAATTCTCATGACTGAATAAATGGATCCTAATTTAACACAATCACTTGGAAGCTATTTGGAATTTGTACAGTAAGTTTATTAGGTGGTAGGTAGGAAGGAGACCAGAGAATGTTGTAAGACTAATACATGGCATCTGAATTTGACAGTGTCTATTTTATGTAAGTTTACAGCAGGGCCAAAAAGCCAAAATTATGAGCAAGCATACAACTCCTGTTCAAGTCATCTGTGATCACATATCCTTTCCAAGAGCAGTAACTTCAGAGATACTCCAGGCTGCCATGAAACACACCTTTTTCAATTCATATTTTATTGTTTAAAGTTTTAAAACAATAAATGGATAAAAAAAAGCAGATAAAAAATGAAAATGGTGTTTTATCAACATAAATGGTTTCCTGTTCTTTTTGTTTTGTTTCTTTTTGGAGACAGGGTCTCACTATGCAGTTTAGGCTATGTAGCCCAGGCTACATAGCAACTCATGGCAATCCTCCTGCCTCAGCCTCCTGAATGCTGGGATCACAGGTGTGCGCCATTGTGCCCATTTTTTTTTTTTTTTTTTAAAGACAGAATCTTGCTATGTAGTCAACACCAGTGCTAATAGATTACATAGGTCACAGCATCTGGCCCACTTCTGGCAGCTGCCAGTTTTAAGTTTCTCCTACCCCAACAGCTGGATTAGTCTGGCACCACAACAAAAGTAGAATCATAACTATCAGCAATATTTGCTGTTTTAAAAAATGAACTTTTTAATCTAAGAAATGTTTGATGCATCAGTCTGTTGAAATGCTATTTCTGGACATAAGAATAAGATGTTTGAGTCAGGCAAGTGACACACTCCTGTAATGCCAGCACTCTGTAGGCTGAGGCAAGAGGGTTGTCATGAGTTTAAAACCAGCCTGGGCTACATAGTTCAAGGTTAGCCTGACATAACACAGTGAGACCCTATCTCAGAAAACAAACACAAAACAAAACATACCAAAAAGGTAAATTTTTTTTTTGGTACGGGGGATCAAACTCAGGACCTTTCACTTACAAGGCAGGCGTGGCACCACTGAGCTAAATCCCTGGCCCAAAAAATGTAAAATTCGTTCTCCGGGTAAACAATTTTATGGAGATATTCCTTTTTGAAAATGAAAGTATATGTAGATGCAATTATTTTCTGAACTGCAATTGAAATGAAAAGACAAATTTATAGTGGAAAGAAATACTAACTAAATGATTTTTATTTATTTATTTTTTTGGTACCGGGGATCGAACTCGGGTCTTTGAGCTTTCAAGGCAGGCGGTGGAACCACTGAGCTAAATCCTCAGCCCTAAAATGATTTTTAAATGTATGAGAAATCCAGTATTACTTTATGGTTTATTACTCTGTAAGTTTTGCTTATATTTAGCTTCAGGTTGATAGCGAAAAAGGTCCTGAGTTTGATCCCTGGTACCAAAAAAAAAAAAAAAGGCCAAAATGCAGGAGAAAGAGAAACAAACTGAAAGAAAGCATGATCTCTGAGTTACAAAGAGGTATTGATGTGATTGAGCTACTGTACTTTGGAATTTCCATTTTACTAGCTTAGCTTGTATTAACAAAAATAAAACTCAACACCATAATGGTAAAACAGAAAGAGTATTTAGGTATGCTAAGCAAGATCACTAGTTGAGCTCTTTTATGTCGGATTTTTATTTTTTTCAGCATGAGGAATTGAACCCAGGGTCTTTGCACTGAGCTATATCCCCAACCTTTAAATTTTTAAAATTTTGAGACAGGGTCTTACCTAATCACTAAATTGCCCAGATTGGGTTTGGATTTGCAGTTCTGCCTCAGGCTCCTCGAATGCTAGGATTACAGATATATGCCAACACACCCATCATGCCAGGTTTTTTACTAATTTATTTATTTATATTTTTTGAGATGGTATCTTGGTACATTGCCCAGGATGGCCTTGAACTGCTGGTAACAGGCAATCCTCGTGCCTCAGCCTCCTTAATAGCTGAGACTACAGTCATGTGCCATCACATATAGGGCTTTCTCTCTATATAAAACCCAGGGCAAGCAGTCTACCACTGAACCAAACCCTCAGCCCTAACTTGTTTTGAATTTCATCCTGAAATCTAGAAAGATTCTAATCATAAGTCAGCTTATATATCTATATCTATATCTATATCTATATCTATATCTATATCTGGATGTGATGGTGCATGCCTATAATCCCAGCACATGGGAGGTTGAGGTAGGAGGATCCCTGTGAGTTCAAGGCCAGCTTGGGCTACATAGTGAGTTCAAGGCCAGCCTGAAATAGCAAGATCCTGTCTCAAAAAACAAAACAAAACACACACACACACTGATGAGAAGATAACCTTCACTTTTTTTGTGTGGCATTAAGAATCAAACACAGAGCCTTTGCAATGAGGTACATCTCCAGTCATTCTTTTTTTTTAAAACTTTTGAGACAAGGTTTCACTAATTTGTCCAGGCTGGGCTCAAACTTGTGATCCTCCTGCCTCAGCCTTCCAGTGCTGAGATCACAGGTGTGCGCCACCATGTTTGACTGTTCTTTTTTACATTGGGTCTAATACCAATGAAGGAATACTGTAACTTTTTTCTCCACAACCAACTGGGGAGAGGGGCATCAGTACTGTTATTAAGACTCTTTTTTTTTTTCTTTTGGTACCGGGGATCGAACTCGGGTCCTTGGGCCTGCACAGCAGGCGGTGAAACCACTGAGGTAAATCCCCGGCCTAAGACTTATTTTTAAGAAACTTCTGATGTGTGTGATGCTATATAGATCTTTCTTCTAAAAGTTTGTAACAGGGCTGGGGATTTAGCTCAGTGGTTCCGCCACCTGCCTCGAAAGTGCAAGGTCCCAAGTTTGATCCCCAGTACAAAAAAAAAAGGAAAAATTTAAAAGTTTGTGACAAAACATTCTACAAATATTAAATCTCCAGCTGAGTAACCAGTACACAGGTACTTGAAAGAATATTCAAGTATCAGCATGTACCCTCTTGCATTAGCCAAAACTGAAATGTGAAAAATTAACACTTCTTTTCAATTTAGGTTATGATGTGGGATTTAGAACCTCCCCCACCCCCCACCCCCCGGCTGTGCTGGGGGTTTAACCTATAGCCTGACCTTCAGTCCCTTAGAAATTATCAGAAGAGGGCCAAGGATTTAGCTCAGTGGCATGCTGCGCCTGCCTCATAAGCAAAAGGTCCTTAGTTCGATCCCTGGTACCAAAAACAAAAAAACCCCCAGAAGAATCCCTTTATATTCTCTGACTATATCTTGCCCACTGTTGATACCCAAATCTATTATCACTAAGGGCCAAACTTAGCTCCAAAAATCTATACAACTCATTCTATCATCTGTTCTCTGGATCCTTTTCATGACTGCTCCATCAATTTTGTTCACGCTCCGTATCTTTAATTGGTCTCAGCCAAGAACAGTGGTGCATGCCTGTAATACCAGGGTTCTGAGAGGCTGAGGAAGGAGGACCAAGTTCAAGCCCATCCTGGGTAACTTGGTGGGACCTATCTCAAAATAAAATGGGCTGGGGATTTATCTTAGAACAAAGCTCAAGCACTAGCACTGGGGGAGGGGGATCAGTCTCCTCTGTCTCCCCTTATGGATCCTTCTCATCTGTGCTTAATATACGTATGTTTCTCTACTTCAAAGAAGCAAAGAAAACAAAAACATTAGGTCCTACCCTGCCCCTCTATCTCTTCTTTCAGGGTTTAAACACTTTTTACCCCCACCCCACGCCCGTACCAGGGATCAAACTCAGGACCTTGCGCTTGTGAGGCAGGCACAGTACCACTGAGCTAAATCCCCAGCCCTTATTTTTTTGGAGGGGGGAGGGTTTTCTGAGACAGGGTCTTGTTATGTAGTCTATCAGGTTGGTCTTGAATGAACTATGTAGCTCATGCTGGGCTATGTAGCCTGTGCTGGGAGGCTGAAGCAGGAAGATCACAAGTTCAAGCCCATTCTGTCTCAAAATAAAAAATAAAAAAGGGCTGAGTATGTAACTCAGTGCAAAGGCCCTAGGTCAATCTCTAGTACTACAAAAGAAAAGTTGTTTACATTGCTATTTCTATGTTCTCACTTCCTACTCACTACACAGAAATACTTCTTTCTTAGCAAGATCACTAGTGACAAGTGTGTTGCTTTACATATAGGAAGAGCACTGGGCTAAAAACTAAAGAATAAGATTTAGTCTTGGTTTGGCTGTGATGTGAGACTAGGAGGATTTACTAATTCTTTTGGCAACTGATTTTTCTTACCTATGAGGAACATCGTTTTTGTTTTGTTTTTGGTACTGGGGAATGAACCTAGGGTGACTTCATTCATGCTAGGTAAGTGCTCTACTATTGAGCTATATTCCCAGCCCTTTTGATTTTAACACAGGGTTGTGCTAAGTTGTCCAGGCTGGGCTTGAAACTGTGATCCTATTTTCTTTTTTTTGGTACCGGGCATCGAACTCGGGTCCTTCCACTTGCGAGGCAGGCGGCGGAACCACTGAGCTAAATCCCCAGCCCTGTGATCCTATTTTCTCACCTTCCCATAGGGCTGAAATTATAGGTGGGCAGCACCACACCTGACACATTCTTTCTTTATTTCTTGGTATTGGAGATCGAACTCGGGACCTTGTGCTTTCAAGACAGGAGGTGGAACCATTGAGCTAAATCCCCGGGCCCTGACACATATTTTCTTTCTTTTTTTGGTACCGGGGATCGAACTCGGGACCTTGCGCTTGCGCAGCAGATGCCGAAACCACTGAGCTAAATCCCCAGCCCCGACACATACTTTTTTAAGTGACTGAGTCTTTGAGGAAAAGCTCTGATGTGACAACAAGGAAAGTGTATTCCTGATGAGCTGCTGAAGTCCAGAGGTCTAAGGCCTACCCTTCTCCCTCACAGACACTGATCCACTGCTACAGCTACACTCCAAAAGGAGTCACAGGTGAACTATCAGAGGAGTGCAAACGTGGGCCTCGTGTGCAAGCTAAAAGTAAATATTCTGACTTGCCTTGAAAAGGGGATACAATTTCCTGCATTATTTCCATTCCATACTGCCTTACATCAAAATTTAAAAGTACTTGACCAGAGATGAAAGGCTCATGTAACTGATCAGAAACCAAATTTACTCAGTACGCATGCCATGGAATTCACATACACTGGACCTCTCTCTGCTTTGGTTTTAATAGATCTAGACACTTGCCTTTCAATCAAACGCAGACTAAAATTTTAATAAGCACAAATGTGAGAGCCTCAGTGTGGTTAGATTTAAAAAGCAGAATCTTGTAGTCAGAGTGTAGCTCAAAGACAATGAGTGGGCCTCCCAGTAAGGTGCCTGTGCATACCCCTCTTCTGTAGCACATGCAAATCCAGCCACGGCATGCAAATACCAGACGAGGGCACAAAAACAATAACACAATTCAATCAACACTCACCCTCTAGAGTCTCCAGAAAGGAGTTGGATATGAGAGATCACTGTGGTTAGGCCATTTCTCTGCTGAACCTGATGGCTGGTGTTCCAAGTCAGACATAAACTGGTCTGTGTCAAAGAAGACAACATCACTACTGAATGGAACAAACCAGAGGGTGAACTTTATCTATTACAGTGCCCAGTCTGTTTTCATCTATAATCAAGAGGACTTTACTGTCCTTTACCTATCAGTCACTACTGCATAAAATGGCCCCCCACATTTTATTAGGTAATATAAATATTGAAGTCCAGATAGTTTAAGCAATGGATGATTTTTATTTATTTATTTTGGGGGTTTTCTATTGAGACAGGGTCTCACTGTGTATTTATTTATTTTACTTTTTTGTGACAGACTCTTGCTATATAGTTCAGGCTGGCCTTGAACTCACTATGTAGCCCAGGCTGGCCTCAAACCCATGGTGATCCACCTGTCTCAGCCTCCCAAGTACTATTTACAGGCATGTGTCACTATGCCTGGGCTGCTTCTTAAAATTAAAAAGGCAATTAAAAAAATTAGTTATGGTTTTCAGAAATAAATTAAGTTTTAAATAAACTAGTTTTGATTAGAGTAAAAATATAGTAGTTCCCAAAGCCTCTTTTTTTCCTTTGGTCATTAAGGCATTACCATTGGGTGTTGTTGTACAACTTCAAACAAAATACTTGACTCTGGGAGATAAGAATCAGTATGTGCATGTCTGTAAACAGTAATCATTAATACCCTCTTTTTTTTTTTTTTTTTTAAGAAAGGGTCTTGCCATGTAGTTCAGGCTGTCTTTGAACTCACTTTGTAGCCCAGGCTGGCCTGGAACTCATCATACCAAATTCTCCTGCCTCAGCCTCCTGAGTGCTCGGATTACAGGCATCTGCCACTATACCCAGCTAACCCTCATTTTAAACAGACAAAAAAAAAAAAAGAAAAAAAAAACCCCAAAAAACAAAAACCAACAAAGGCAAAACAAAAGGAGTCAATTTGTATAAAACACATCCTAACAGAACAAAACCCAGAAATCCCTTGCTTAGGCAAGTTTTCTGCCTCAAGCTTTTCTTTTATTCTTTTCCCCCCTCTTCCCATCCCCCCTTCCTTCCTTTCCTTTTTGGGATACTGGGTATTAAATCCAGGGTCTCATTCATACTAGGCAAGCCCCCTAGCTACATACACCCCCAGACCTTTTTCATTTTTGTATTTCGAGGTAGGATCTAAGTTGCCCTTGCTGCCCTTTTAATTTGTAATCCTCCTGTCTCATCCTCCTAGAAGCTGGGATTACAGGTGTGGACCACCATGCCTGGCTCCTTCAAAGTTTTTTATTACTGAAACAAAAATTTTTTTTTGGATACTGGGGACTGAACTCAGGACTTTCCACTTGCAAGGCAAGCTCTGTGCCACTGAGCTAAATCCCCGGCCCTTTTATTACTAAATTTGAGACTAGTCACCTAGCTGCCGAGGGTCATTTAAAGATTCCAATATGTGCAAAGTATTTTAAAGACTTACTGTATATTGTCAAAAGTATCCATTTTGCTAGTGCACAATCTCTACAACTGAATCCTCTAAAACAGACTTCAAAGTGTAGGACATATAGTTCAGGTAAATTACCAAATAAAATAAAGAAGTGTAAGAACAAAGCTAAAAGGCCAACAGACATGGAGGCTTTTGTCAACTGGCTAACTCAGTGGTAATTTCAAATTATGCTTTTATAGAAATTTAGGATCTTCCAGATATTCTTGCAGATCCCTGAAGCACAGCTGACAGATCCAAAAACACCTCAATCATTAACCATCTCTTTTAGCCACAAGAACTTTGACTAAACATTTTGTCCATAAGATTAAAGAGGAAGGGAGCTGGGAATTGTAGCGTATGCCTGTAATTCCAGCTATTTGGAATGCCAATTCAGGAAGACTGCAAATTCTAGCCCAGCTTGGGCAATTTGGTGAGACCCTGTCTCAAAAAAAGGGCTGGGATATAGCTCAGCGTGAAGGCACATACACAACAGGCACCTTCCTTGGAAAGAAGAGGTAAAATTATCTGTTCATAAATGACTGAATATATATATA